TTGATCGAGGAGAGTTTGGCCAGCGACTTGAATAAATTTTCTTTAATTTTCTTTTCGCGTGTTCGATGTATTTAATTATCACCGTAATTTTCTGTTCAAAACATTATTACACGAGCTATCTCCTCGTCAGTGTATTGCAACGGAAAGTCTTTCCACGCGAAGCTCAACGGTGCTTATATATTATTTTATTATCGTCATTTTCATCATCTTTGTGCGTGCGCACTTGCTAAAACATCTTCCTGTCACTTTTTGAGTACTGTTGTACCTCCCACTGTTTAGTTTGCAAGCATATCGAGCAAGAAAATAAGTGAAGAATGTCTATATGGCAAGCTTTGCGTCTCGCGTCCAATGCATTGTCTTACTTTTTGACTTGCCCCAGTGCTCCTCGTTTCTTTGTTAGAAACCAATTGCGCAACCGCTGACACATAATGCAGGCTCATACTTTGAGCACCTTGGGGTCATGGCGCCCCTTTGATAAAAAATCTTGCTCTGGTATTCCTTGTCTTCTATGATCTCCATCTGTTGACATACGATAAAGAAAAGGTCGAAAGTGTTATTCGTAAGACCCTATCCGAGATCAAGCATTCAATATCGTTCGGCTTTGTGTGCATTCAGGCTCGCTTGGCTACTCTTCACATTCAGGGTCCGGCATTTAGAACAAAACATTCATTTCATCCCTTTATGTTATTCGGAACTGAACTGTGATTTTTGCGCCATACCCTCACCTTTTCGTACAGCGTAACTAAACGTAACTAAATTTTTTTTAATTCTAAATTTTAACGACGACTACAAGTTCATCCTTTTTTACACCTGCACTAACTTTCTCCACCACTGAGGACTCGCTAATCCGCTGCTTGCTTACTTACACTAATGCCCTTTTACATGATAACATCTACTTAATTGACTGATAAAGCAGAACTGAGCTTTTGATAATATCATTTGCCGTGCTAACAAGAGAGCTTACATTTTCAGTACTTTGTCTTTTCCTCCGCTTGCTACCCTTGTGCCATCTGGACTCCAGTCTACACTGTACACCTGTAAATGACAGAGAATACTCCTTCGGTTTCAACCAGGAAATACAAATTCCTCTTACTGATGACCATACGTTTACTCTTCATAACTTTTGAGGATTTGGCGGTGTATCAAGACATGGTACGCTTACTGTCAACACCAGTGTGCTTGAAAAGATCATACACTGTAGACAAGTTTTTATTCTGATTGTTTTCGGGTGGGGAGGGGGGCTGGCAAAGCGCACGCGAATGCCAAGATTGAAAACTGTCAATAAAGAATACTCGTTATAAGTTATAAATGATGTACCTCATCTGCGTGACCAGGAAGATCCTCCATGATTTTCTTCGTTTTCATGTCCCATACCTGTTTTAAATTGAAAATTGGGTTGTGTTAGGGGCTACCAAATCAATTCCAAGATGTAGTTAACGGCTATCTAATTTTGTGATTTGGTCTATCCATTACGATTTAGATGATTTCACTGAAAAGTTGTAATAGATTCGCAATCGATTAGTAGTTGGCTAATGACAAAAGTGATCCTTAAATAGAAAAACTACGAAATGTGTAATGTAAAATCAAATAATAGTAATTTACTTAGTACTTAACTTGAGAGTGCTGTCTGCACTTCCACTGCAAATCAAACGGCTGTCTGCAGACCAGGCAATCTTAAAAAAGAGACAATACAATGTAACAATGGACCTAAATAGACTGGAAAGTCATCCGGCTATCGTTTGTGCGTCACCCAGCTAGAGTCTTAGGTAAAACAGGCGCTGAGGTATCTCTATACTCAGCCATTGAACCGTGTTTCGTAATTAAGTGTGGTTAGGAGAAAAAAATGGGCCACAGCTAACTTGCTAAACCAGTTTCAACTGTCACGTGCCATATATTTGTTCTCGTTTTCGCGGTTTCTCACACTCTACTGGTCTATACAGAGTAGAGCTGTATCCTAGTAATATGACATCCAAGACTTTGCCTAGCCTAATCATGATCGTGAGTTCTCCTAATTTTCTAATGAAGAGGAGGATAATTTAAGTCATCAAACCTGTTTGTTTATCTTGAACGTCGTATAGTATTTCGTTTAACAATTTAAGTGCTTTACCTGATATACAGAATTCACATGGCCACGAAGAGATGTGATGTACCTAGCAAAAAAAAACGTTAAAACGTTAATCACAGAATCAGGAGACGATATTATATCTAAACCAGCCATGTAACGCGTTACAAACCTGTGTTCAGGGCTTTTATATAGAGGAGCAATTTTCGACCATTTTAGACTAATCTATCAAATGCATACTTGAACTACATGTGCATCAGTTACGGTAAAAGAAACACTACTGGCGATGCCCAGAAATGCGTATTATGAAAACTTTAACGTTAAATTTTAAATTAAATTGTAAGTTACGTTGACATTGTAAGCAGTAGGTAATTTTTGTAAGTAATGTAATGTAAGATATTGCAGTTAAAAAAAATAAAAAAAAACTAAGGCTGGAAAGACTGAATTTTCTGCTATCATTTAACAGAAATCATAGCACTTCTAATCTATTGTTGGAGGTCCCGCGTGATTAGGTTGTGAAGTACAAGATCATTATGAACAAGAGGAAAACACTGGAAACAAAACATTCGTGGACTCAACGTGCTCAGTATAGCACGACCACCGAAAACCAGAAATTTTAGGGGGTCTCGGAGCATGTCCCCACCCCACAAGTGACAACGGAATTGCTCGACGCACTCGTAACGTCCAGTCAACAGCCTTAGAAGAAATCCCTCTGATGTGAAGAAAGACAGGCAAGATTAATAGAGGAAAGGTCAAAACCCGTGTGACACGTGTAGTCTCCCAGGTATATAATGACAGCAAAACGACAGTGGTAACAGCTGTAACACTAGATTGCAAATTGAACGAAGAGTAATCGACTAAAATCGAGAATATCCTTGCGAAAAATGTAATGAAATGCGCCTTAGACGGCTCTGAGAACCACCTACAGGTTTGTAAAAGAAAACTGTTCACTGAATTATGAGCTGAATCAGCTACCACTTACTTTCCATTGTCGCCGTTCCAGATTTTAACAGACTTGTCAAATGCTGCACTTGCTATAAGACGACCATCAGGAGAAAAGCTCACTTGATTTATTAGAGCCTGGTGACCTACACAACAGATGCTAACTACATTAGAATCATCAACATAATGATCAGGTTGGAAGAGAGAAGCCCTGAATTTGGGACAAAAACTCGTAGGAAACTTTGATCGCCCCCCAACCCTCTTCCCCCGCCCCCAATCCCTCTTTTCATTGTTTGACATCTGATGGTAGGAATTCTCAATGCTTTACATTGTGTTAAGTTATTGATTTGNAAGCATAGCACGAGCACTGAAAACCAGACATCTTAGGGGGTCTCGGAGCATACCCCCAGCCTACTCGCAAATTTTTCGATGCACTGGCAACGTCCAGGTAACAGCCTTAGAAAAAAATCCTCTGATATGAAGAAAGATAGGCAAGATTAATAGAGGAACGGTCAAAAACAGTGTGACGTAGTCTTCCAACTAAATAATGACAGCAAAACAGAGGTAACAGCTATAACACTAGATTCCAAATTGAACGAAGAGTAATCGACAAGAATCGTGTATATCCCTGCGCAAAATGTAATGAAATGCACCTTAGAAGGCTCTGCGAACCACCTGTGTGTAAAAGAATTCAAGAGACTAGACTGTTCGCTGACTTATAAGCTGAGTCAAGTACCACTTACTTTCCATTGTCGCCGTTCCAGATTTTAACAGACTTGTCAAATGCTGCACTTGCTATAAGACGACCATCAGGAGAAAAACTCACTTGATTTATTAGAGCCTGGTGACCTACACAATAGATGCTAACTAGATTAGCTATAGAATGATAGAAATACCGATCAGGTTAGAAGAAAGAAGCCTGGAATCTGGGGTAAAAGTCTTAGGAAACTTTGATCCTTCCCTCCCCACCACCCCGCAGCACTCCATTTTCATTTTCTCATCGTTTCACAATTGGTCACATATTGATAGTAGGAGCTCTAAATGCTTTACATTGTGCTACTGATTTGCAAAGCAGCATCATGAAGTTAGCAGCATGAATACTATATTTGCAGGACGATATACGATTGAGCACCTCAAGGCTGCAGGGTTTTTGACAGCTAGCACACTGGTAAATTTGCAAGCAAACTGAATATGCCCTATGTATTCGCCACTATAGAAAATCACTGCAGCTAAATCAAACTAAAACCGAAGAGCTGTAAGCACTGACAAAATCCAAGCATATATCATTATCATTTATTTAGGAATCGTAGGTTACCAGTTATCGACAAATTATGTTCGGCTGTCTTATGGTAGCATTTTAACACGATACGTATTTTGATAAGCATAGTTACGGTGTGATTATAATCTCACCTGTCATTCGTGCTAAAGGTTTTTTGCTCTCTTCTGGATCCCAGAGGAAAAGAGTAAAATCATCAGAACCTGACACCAGTCTCTCTCTTCTTCCTCCCTGAATAAAAATCATTTCAATAGGTTTATGTCTAGAAAACTAATTAAAATTAAATTTCAGAACTTTACAGTGATAGTTAACAGCTTTCTTAGGGAAAGGATCTTTCCCTTCACCATCCCACCATTGCCCCACCCACCCAAGAGGGCCGTTTTCANTGTCGCCGTTCCAGATTTTAACAGACTTGTCAAATGCTGCACTTGCTATAAGACGACCATCAGGAGAAAAGCTCACTTGATTTATTAGAGCCTGGTGACCTACACAACAGATGCTAACTACATTAGAATCATCAACATAATGATCAGGTTGGAAGAGAGAAGCCCTGAATTTGGGACAAAAACTCGTAGGAAACTTTGATCGCCCCCCAACCCTCTTCCCCCGCCCCCAATCCCTCTTTTCATTGTTTGACATATGATGGTAGGAATTCTCAATGCTTTACATTGTGTTAAGTTATTGATTTGTGAAGCGGCATCATGAAGTCAGCCGGATGAATGCTACAACTGCAGGACAATATATGGTTAAGCACCTCAAGGCTGCAGTGTTTTCGACAGCTAGCACACATTGATAAATTGGCAAGCAAACTGAACGTTCCCTGTGTATTCATATCACTATACACAATCCCTACACCTAAATCAAACGACAACCAAAGAACTGTAAGCGCTGATAAAATGCAAGCATATTTATCATTATCATTAAGAATCGCAGGTTCACCAACTATCGGCAATGGTCGGCTGTCTTATGGTAGCATTTTAACACGATACCTACTTTGATCAGTTTAGTTATGGTGTGATTATAATCTCACCTGTCATTCGTGCTAAAGGTTTTTTTCTCTCTTCTGGATCCCAGAGGAAAAGAGTAAAATCATCAGAACCTGACACCAGTCTCTCTCTTCTTCCTCCCTGAATAAAAATCATTTCAATAGGTTTATGTCTAGAAAACTAATTAAAATTAAATTTCAGAACTTTACAGTGATAGTTAACAGCTTTCTTAGGGAAAGGATCTTTCCCTTCACCATCCCACCATTGCCCCACCCACCCAAGAGGGCCGTTTTCACCCCTAAGAGAGCTTCCTTGATGGCTAGCTTTTTAATGCTGCTGATATACATGTAATTACACTTAACTTCGGTTTGCGTAACATGAAATGGCTAATGCTTTTCCATCTGATCTACTGACATTTCTGAACTTGCCGTTTGTAAGAGAAAGAGTCTTAGGAGAAACGATCGGTTACTGAATCCAATCTAGATTTTCAATAAACCAGGGTTGTATCCACAAATACAGTACCTTTGCTTGCATGTATCTTTGTAACGCGTTTCCTTTCAATGTATCACTGTCTGCTGTAGCTAATTCATCAGGGGGATTTTTCGACGGATCAAATGCACCAGTTCTTAATGCATAGTCTGTATTCAGTGCTAAATGATTCACCTATGATAAAATAGAAGAAAATACAAGATGTGTTGTCTCTTTATATATTTTTTTGGATACAAAATTCCAAAGCTAAAATTAAAAACTTACCCAATGTGCATGTCCCTGTAATGTTCTACAAAGAACTCCCTACCAGGTGACAAGAGAAAAATTGCCAAAAAAAAAGTTACAATTCACACTGTACCACACAAGATCGTAACAGGACTGCAAAGATTAATTACTGGGTTTGATTAGCTATAAGTTTATTTCTCTGAAGGTTTATGCCCCAACTCTAGGGACTGTGTATGTAGCAGGAAATTAATATGAAGATCAGTTCAGCCAGCAGATGTGAACATGTAGACTGTTAGCAGTCTCTATTCATCACATAGTGGAACACACAAAAATAGTAAGCAAGGAGTGTACAAGTTGTAGAATGATTTCTTAGAAAAGGATCATTGGGTCTTGGCAAATTTTAGGCAAGTTACAAAATCTTAGCACCTGAAACTCTAATTTTTTTAATCTTGCTGTGATGCTTCACTATCTGAAATAAAACCATTGTCAATTACTAATCAGAAACCATGGGTTACCTGTGACTGGTTTGAAAATGAAAGGGTAGTTTCCCTTTTTTTGTACAGTTAATTATATAAAAAACAACATACTTAATTATTGCTTTATTATAACGATGACATACATCGTCTGCTCTCCAGACTTTGATTGTCCTGTCTTGTGATGAGGAGTAAATCAGCCCCTCCCCTCCCCACCTGATACATGTCACTGACTTGGTATGGCTTGACAGTGTTCTAATTAACTGACCAAGGATGCAGTCCCNGCGCTTTTAGGTCGTGCTCGCCTTATGATTAAAAAAAAATTGAGGCAAAACAATTTTTATCGAATAGAGCGTTCTATAACCTTTGCATTGATATATAATTTGTAGTGGTTATCTTTAAGACAGCACAGTAATATTTTTTTTCGCTAAGGACACCCACGAAGGTTTATGGTAACCTTAAATGGTTTTTTAAGGCTCTTAAATTCACAATCAAGGAAACAAATACATGAAACACATAGTTCATTGTGTGGAACCTTCTCATAATCATGGCAAATAACAGTGATACACAAAAAGGTCTTTGATATTAGATAAAGTTGAAGTCTGTTTGAGCAGGGGGGGGGAGGAGTGGGGGCACTTATAAAGATGGGGGCTCATGACCAGAATTTTATGGTAATTAAAAAATAATGCACTCACTTTTGATGCACTAGTAAGAAATCTGCAATCTGGATTACTGAAAAAAAAACAGAACAAACAAAATTCAACCCTTGTTATTTTCTAAACCATTCAAGGAAGTATTTTGCTTTGAACCCCTCCATCCCCTCTGGAAATTCAACTTGGGGTGGTATAGACATATTCTGGAACCACATATTATGTACCTGTGAAGTGGCTGCCAGCTAAGCCATGTGATCCATTGCAAGTGTCCCTTTAACATCTTTCCAAGTTGCTTTCCTGTTTCAGGGTCCCAGATTCTAATCTAACAAACAGGGCATGTATATATTAAATCCTATTAACAGCTTTGAAAACCTCATTTAACACCTCCAAAATCTGGCGGCTGGATTGACAGTTCCAAAATTACACTTGGGGTGTGGCTGTGCTGATAACAGACCTGTAGATCTCTTCAGATTCTGCTATTTACTGTTCCAGACTATTCAGACAAATGAAAAAAGTTCACAATTTGCATTCTTTTTTGACATAAATTGGAGGTACAATAAGCCTTCTTCCAGAAAAATAACTATATGGGCCAGTGTTCAAGACTAAAATACATCAACTATTTCAAAAACACTACATACCCAAGAATAGTTATAAATGGTTAATATACACAACATACTGGTCAGGAAAAACTACAGGTCCCAAATTGATAATTATATATATAATGATGTTATGTACTACAATTTCCTAACCTCGCCATTTTTACATCCTGACGCCAACTTTTTTCCATCTGGAGACCATGCTATGTGTAATATCCAGTGTGTGTGAGCTTAAATGTCAATAACCAAATCCAGAAAGTTACAAAATTAAAACTTCCCTTAATATTCAACAGAAGTGAAAGTGCTGAAATATTTGCTGCATTTTTTTCAGTGGGAGAAACAGGGGTTTTCTTTTTTCTCTGGATGTGAATGCAACTTGTTTGGGCCACTTTGTAGCTCACTGTCACTGCAGCTTTGCAGATCCAATTGATTGAGAATTAGAAAAACAAACAAACGGAAAATGGTGTGTGACAAAGTACTGCCTTAAAGTAAATTATTAGTATTTTATATTGGTGGGGAATAATCGATTACTGACCCTAAATATTCCCACCGACTGTAGCTATAGTCTGAATCAGCATTATAAAGAAAACAACATTGCCCTTAATATTTTACCTTTACAAGTAAAATGAGGTGTTTCTGTGTTGACATCCCAAAACCGAACAGTCGTGTCACCTGAGCCACTTGCTAAATATCTAACAAAAACAAATGAACATCAAAATTTTGATGCTTAGCTTCTCACATAGTACTAGTCTTGTAATGTATACAAAAGAATATTCAAATTCACCCATTTGCCTAGAGTTACATGTATCTCAAGCATGGATAACTGACCAAATGCCAAATTATCTTGGGTTAACTTTTCAGCTTGTATAAGGTATATACATGTATACATGCATATAGGAACTGTATGCTCCTCTTATCAACAAGAACTCTCATAAATAAGATGTTATTCAATCAGCAACACAAGTTACTCTGAAACAAACTTATCCCAAAAGGAGTTGCAGGGCTTAAAAAAACTTAAATACCAGCTTGCCCGTAGGACAAGTAGCTCTCAAATTTTGCTTGCCCTCAGAGCAAGTCATAGTTACTGTTTTAATGACATGGTTGGTGGACGACTTGCCTGATCCCTTGCCCATAGGGCAAGTGAAAATAAAAGTTACTTGCCCAGAAGGAAAATCTACTTGTCTGGGACAATGGGACAGCACTTTTTTTGAGCCCAGAGTTGAACCCATGACCTTTTGCACTCCAGAACACTACTCTACCACTGAGACTCTTGTCTTTAATTTCTAGACTAATCCAAGCAATATGCATTGAGAAGTTTGTCACAATAAAACTTGGTTATATATGGCTTAACTCCATGAGTTTCCTGTACATATAGATCAATGGTAGAGCATCCAAACGGTATGCAGAAGGTTAGAGGTTTGACCTCTGCACCCAGAACTCTGAATTTTGTTTTTACTGGGGAGAGAATATTACATTTCTGATAGATTATATATCCTTTCATATGGTATCCTCTCTCTTCCAAGATTTTTAATGGTTCTCTACCCACCTGCCATCAGGACTAAATGACACTGCAATAACTGCTTCAGAATGACCTGTCAATCAGAGGGAGACAATAACTGTAACAAATAACATCACTTAGAAAATAGCAAGTATTACATATACGTACATAGAATCATAGGCATGCAATGCATACAGAGGATATAGTAGCAACTTTACTCTTTGCATGCTTTGCATGCCTTTAGAAAAGAGCCAAAGGAAAATCCACCTGCTGATTGGTTTAATATTGTGTTTCTATTAAACAATTAGATTATGAGCTCAAGATTTCTATCGAGTGATAGAAATCGATTTCTATCACGCATAGAAATCAAGAGCAAATAATCTAATTGTTTTAGCATAAATCTACTAGTCGTTCAAAACTTTATCGAAATCCTCTTCATGGACACTTCGAAAATACCAAGAAGTGGCCATTATTTTGTTCACTAGGGCACACTGCTACGCTACTCACTATCTATCACAGAATAGATAGTGGGTAGTGTAGCCAATCAGAGAATGGCATCGTGACAGAACACTAGTAGATCTATACTAAAACTCGATAGAAATATAGTACTTCTTAACTACTTAATAACCTCGACCGTTCAGTCATTACGGGAAAATCTCAAACTGAGGCCTTGCCGTATTGACCGAGCGAGAGCGAGGTCAATACGGTAGGCCGAGGTTTGAGATTTTCCCGTAACGACTGAACGGTCGAGGTTATTAAGTTGTTTATTATATGGNGTGGTGTTCTGCTCAGGATGCATGACAGATCAGCCGATGGTGTCTTTCACTTAGCGATTTTAGCTTTACTTATGACTCGGCAAACTTTGATTGTTTTTCACTAGTGCCCGCCAAGGTTACCGGCTGGTAAGTCAAAAAATCTCTAAACTTTTAGCTACTTACTTTCTCTTATTGTTTTTAATCGGTTTTCATCGTTTCAATGCGCTTGAATTTTCCAAGCCAGGCTCTTTCTAATTTGCATAATCCGTAATCGGCCCGTGGGCATTACGGCTGCATAATGACCACTCAGATCTCGCTCTTAGCCAATCAGAGCGCACGTTATATCAGCCACAAGCCAAAGCCATATAATAATAAATAGTAATAAATGATGTAATTAAAAATAAAATTGATGCTACCTGGAATTGTGCTTGTACATCTTGTGACTGCCCGGACTTTAAACACAGCCTGGGGCTGGTACACTATCTCTACCACCTTTTCTGTTTCAAGTGTTTGTGTCTCTAAGGTTTCCTTAAGACTGCCAGTGATTTCAGACTCATTGACAAAAAATGAATATGGCACACTGTCATCCTGAGTAGAAAAACCAAAGAAACCATTTACAATACGGAACATAATTTCTGAATTCAGTCTTTACAGCTAGAAGCCAAGTGGTCCATAATAAATGGAATTGGATTGTTTATCAAGGGCAGAGCACAACAGTCTTGCGATTGATGCCTTCCTTATTCCAACCAAAAGTATTATCTTGATTTAGGGAGCAGGCTGCACACCCCCACCCAATTTTTCTGGGAGTATCCCCCCAGCCTTGATGTAAACCAAGTGTAATCTATCTGGATGCAACAAGCTCTTGCCGCACCAAGATGGGTGGATATCTTTATATGGGCAAATGTGAGTTGTATGTTCTAAGAAACGCATAGTTTATTCCCCCGGTTCTTCCAACAAACTATGAGTAGGCAGTCTGCCAGAGGTACCAAGGGTACTTACATGTGATATATAATGACAATAACCAACATACTCTTGACTAATAATTACTATTACCTTTTGAAGTACTGCATTGCAGACTAATTCTAGTTTATCAGGTGTGATATCAAGAGGAAGGTCAAATGGTGTGCCAATAAGTTCTCCAAGTTCACTCTTAAACTGTGCAAGGATACGACCACCTTCACTGTTTAAAAAAAAAAAATTAAAATTGGCAGAACTTGCATTAAATGACTGCAGAATAAAAACTCATTGCATATACACTTTTAGCAACACTTACCTTCATATTTAAACACACTGAACCCCTATTTCTAAGCAGAGTCACAATCCAAAAGAATTGTTATTTAAACATCTCCTCCCACCCAAAAAATGTACTTATCCATCATTCATTGATTATCCATGAAGTTCACAGCTTCATAAGCGTAAATTATATCACTGATTATATGGGGCACCTTCAATGTACTACAAACAGCCATCACTGTTCACTTCCAGTCATAAGCCATTGTCTACTGATTACACTAAGTACTCTTTGTACACTTAAGTTTTTAATAAAGCATTTTCTACCTCATCTTGCTTCTTTTATAGGAGCGATTTACGGTTTGCACCTCTCTAGCGTGCTCCACGTGAGAATTTTTCTTTTCTGTTTACCTGAACCAGCGGTAACAGTAGTTCAAACTTAGTAACTCATGTATGGCATATATTGTATGTATGCGAGCATGCGCCTAATTATATCCAAGATGGCTTCCAACACAGTTGCGAGAGTTGCTCCATGTTTTCCTTCTATAAGACAACGCTTTTTGTATTATAAGAAGATAGACCTAAAGGTTATATCAAGAACTATTTGTGCTCTTTCCAGGTGTAGTTTTTCTAATGCAGCAAGTCACGTGAAGGAGGTCGAGACGGCTGCCGAAAGAGACCGCGAAAAGTCTAAAATCCAAATTATCAGTGAATTTGAGAATCGAAATCCTCGAAATCCAGAATATTTTGGATACTGCAAACCAAGAGGATATTCCACACAGACATACAGGGTTGATTTCTACAACAAGTAAGTCTCACGTTTCCATTAAAACAACATTTTTGCGTAAGTGATAAAATCTTTTCAGAAGTCCCCTACGATAAATGTTTAGCAAAATTCTCTTAAACCATACTGCAGCAATACAAAATGTGACACGGCAGGGTTCTGGTCAGAAGAAATTATTTATTATTTTTTATCTCTCCTCCCCCCTTTTTTTCNCCCCCCCCCCACCAACCCATCCCGCCGCTTATGTAGGTACAGAATGATCTGGTTTTGTACAAGCCAAGTATTGATGTAACCCTAAGACTTATATTTAAAGGGGCTTGCTTTCAGAGGTTTTTTTTATGCCCTTATACTTGTGCAACCACAGTTCTGTTTAATGTTTCTATTTTTTAATTTAACATGCAGACTCAAGTTTTTAATAACAAACCGGCACACAAGAGCTCAAGTAATTCACAACAGCGGAGTTGTCCTTGTCTCGGCATCCACCACAGAATTTGAAATCACAAAACATCTTTACAAAACTACAGATGTCACTGCTGCTTTGAATGTTGGTAGAGTGATGGCGCAGAGATGCCTTGAGGCAGGGATCACACGGGTTCGCTGGGAAGTTCAAAAAGGAGACTTGCGGAAGCAAAGGGTAATGTTTATCTCAGTGTAGTAGTCAGCTATCAGACATTGTCTGACTAATTTTTACAGTATGATTGAATACTATGTTGGACAACCAAAATGACATAGCTTTTTGTCTTGAAAATCATATCTGCTGAGAAATATGTGAAAATCATACATGTAAACCATATCAATCCTCAAGAGTCTGTTGCTATTGTGATTCACAACAGTGTAAAGTTCAACTGTTGGACAGTTACTACTTGAGTCCATGTCAAGGCTGTGGTCTAACAAAAATTACAAGGAGCAAAAGGTTCCTAACCATGAAATATTGGGTGTCCAGCACTTAAGCTTGTATGAGAAAAGTAACTTTTTCCAATCATCCAAAGGGAAAAGTTAGTTGCCTATGGTATATGTGTGCAAGCATCTAGGGCACAGCCCTGCATGTATCATTCAGTTTCACAATTAACACAAGAAGTTAAGATTTTAGGGGAAAATGTTGTTACATTTTGAATTACTATACTCTTGTGGCTTCCCTTCATTCAGACCAAGGCATTCTCCGAAGCTCTCAAGGAAGGAGGAGTCATACTCAGTGAACCCAAGAAAGTTATACCACCAGAAACATTTTATCTAGGTAAATCAAGACATTCTAGAGCCAATGTGTGGTTCTGGAAAATATCCATATACCCACCCCAAGGAGGGTTATTGGAAATTCTAATGGAAGGGAGTCTCAAAAGCCAAAACTTTTAAAGCAATATCCAGTGGGATGGGGAGGTGGGGGAGGAGCTCAAACCTAAAATAATCTTCCATGCGTGGTGTATGGATATTTAATCTAGAACAACACAATGTATAATTTAAGTGCCCAATTAATGGGATTTAGAAGAGTACTTGGAAGCAATTGGGGGCTGTAATTGTTTTATTCCCTTAACAAGCCTTTGCTGACTTGCTAGGATAATCGTTGCAGCAAATAAGACTTGGTCCAAAATTATATATGAAAGCCCTATCAAAGTGCTTTTGATACCTGTAGTTTACTTCCCTTCCTTCAGTTAGTAAAAGGGAATTGTAGACTTCCAGTAAGTACTTCTTGAGGTGAGGCCAAAACAAAGTAAGAGAATGAGAGGGACACAAGAATCACTGTTTCTCATGGAAACCTACGTGAAGTGCTTTGTGAGACCTTGCCACCTCTTCCCAACATTATTTTAACACCATTGTGGTCAGTGGGATGTACACACACATTTACCACGCTTAGCTTGTACTTCTCAGTAACAGTTCCTCAGGAGAGGGGGTGCTAGACTAGGTTCACCACTTCTACTTCATTGAAGTGAGTCTAGTATTTAGATCTTTGTCTCCCTAAGAAGTTCCTCAGTTTCATATTCTTTGGGTTGTTATGCGAGCAATATGTTCTTGTCCTATTAAGAAAGTCACCGGCAGCTGTATAATTAGTAAAGGTCCTTACCCTCAGCTATATATTCTGACACTTAAATAAAGTAATTGGTTGACTCATTATTGAATACATCAAAAAGCATATTATTTACCTCATTCTGGCAAAGTGTTCATGGATGTTGCATTTTGATTTCGTTTATTTTATCATCTACAGATTTTAGACCAAAAAAGAGAAGTAAAAAGTGGAAAAAATTGCCCTATTCAAAGAGATGGAAAGCACACATGACGAAGCGAAGATAATGTTACCACATACATGTGATAATTGTCATATATAGAATATATGGGCCATGGAGCTACTGTACAAAGCTGCGTTCTACCACTTTGATTTTTATTTCTGTTTTAAAAAATAAAAATGAAAAGCAAACAGCAATGAGGACAGATCTGAAATTTCCAGCCTGTTTTCTTTCCAACTTCAACTTCAACTTCACTTTATTTTGCACTTACATTTTGAAATTACAATATTAGCATAAAAAACAAGTGAATCCGTTAGTAATCCGTCCTTCTACTCCCATGTTATTTTATGTTCATTTAAATGAGATGGAGGCTAACTTGATAACCTCACGGTTCTATTAACCTCCATGCACAACCTATATACCATTCTCACCTTTAATTGTTATATATGTATCTTTTTGTTGTCAGTTTCGTTTTCGTCATGGATAAGTCGTTTGTAAGGGGCCGGTAGCTGTTGACATCTGTTGTTGTCAACAACTACAGGCGTCTTACAAACGACTTATCCATGACAGAAACGAAACCGACAAATGAACTTCCAACAGACTAACTTAATTTGACTAACAATAGACGGACCAAAAACCGACCAATTTGAATAACAAAAGATGGATCGAAACCCACCAGTGACTGATGACAAACTTAACACAAGTCTTTCAGCCAATGCCATCATGGCTAAACTGACCAATCATGTTCAACGGACCAGACCTATAACATCATCAACTGACAAAAACAATTTACTTGACTCTGAAGATGACTTCCACTCAGGTTGTCGGTTGTCCACTCAGGTTGGTAGTGTGTCGGTTGTCAGTAGTGCCAACCAAGAGCAATAACAGTCTTGTATCCATTAACTATGGTAGCACCTTCTGCTGCTACTTGAAGCACCCAACCATTTCCCCTAGCCAAGAGAAACTGATTCCAGTCAGCATAAATTACATATTGTGCTGCTAGTCTCTCTCTTTTAGATGATATTTCTCAAAAGTTTGTATCTTTCTTGTTGTTGCTCAGTAGCCTTAAGCCCTCATCCCTCGGGTGTACAAGAGTTGTGGTAGGGAGGGAGGGTGGGTGGATGGATTTCAACCCCCAAAGGGGGTTAAAGCATTTTAAAAGAGAGAGAGGGAGAGAGTGAGCTTGGATAGGGTATAGTACCCCAAAACCAACCCGTTTAATTTATCCCCAGGCTCTAACGCTGACTGCTAACTCTCCCTCGAAGGAAAAAGGAATGAAATGGTTATTTTTTGCATCATTGTCCAAAATTTAAATCTGGCTAATTAGCTGGAAATAGAACTAAACAGAAAAATGCATAATGCAACCATTAGCGTTTATTAAGACATCATTGTAATTTGGAACTAAGATTACTTACAAACTAAAAAGACCTTCTATTACTTATGTGGATTTTAACCAGCTGCTACGAAGACTGAAACCGGACGCGGTGTGGTCCTCTTCTAGGACTGAACCGCAGAGAGTGTCAACAATTAGATCTACAGCCGTTATTTTACGTTGTGCAATATTTACATCTTCAAATAGACTTAATGACTAAAAAAAATCATTTACTTAGTAATAAACATCACATTTCATAAACCAAAACGGGATTTCAGACGGTTAGCAATGACGAATTCGGCGAATTTATTAATAAATAACGAGAACTGTATAGCTTTTGCTTGAATCTCCCAATTTTAACAACATTTTTTTATGTAACCCAGTCAATCAGTTTAGTTTACAAAGGTTTGGCTTAAATCTTTAAAACACTATGTCTACACAACGCTATCTGGGAAAACGATATATAAGGTAACAAAATCATTCCGACGGCGACACCAGGAAAATTGCAAAAATACAACCAAATAAATGTTTCTTTTTCATGGTATGACGTCATACTCTTCAACAAAATGTACTCTATGAATGTACTCTAATTAAAGCGAACAAAGAAAAGAAACAAATCTACAGATTATCAATCTTGGTTGACAAGACAGTTGGATGCCCATACGAAACATTAGAAGTCTCTATCCACTTAATGGAAGACGTTTTGCGGTAATAATCGCACTGAGCCTGTGTACACTGTTGTTAAGTAAATTATATGACTGTCAATTGTTGTAGCTACTATACAGTAAAGACAATTGGAGTTCTGAGAGTTCTTTTGCCCAAACGTGCTCTTGGAAGTTTCATCTGTTATCGTCAGACCATGCTGTAGGCCTCTTGCACTGGGACGCTAGTCGGCCGGGTTATAAACTCCGTCGAAAACTAAAACAGAAACAAAGTAATAGACCTACGCTCCTCCGCTTAGTATGCTTGAGTTAAATGCCCACAGGAAAAAAGAAGTGCCGTAAGTAGTAATTTCATGAGAGACGCACGTTTTCCAGATACTTTTCAAGGGCCCATTTTAGGAGAAAAGCTTTTCAAAATAAAAGGGTCTGGATGGGTTTGTTGCCGGAATCTCAGTTATCAGTTGAATTCTCGGCAATTTCCCAGTTATCAGTTAAAATTTCCAGGTATCAGTAAATGATGCAGACCTCAAATCGTAGCTATTTGTCGAAGACGATAAATATTTGGAGCAATTCTCAGTATCAGGTAAACCCTATCTTGGCCCTTCAAACATATCAGAGGGGCAAGGCTTTCTTTCTATAAACCAGTCATAACCCGCTGCAAAGTTGCTGAAACATGTTGACGTATTTTACTCAAAAAGCGCATTGCCGTCGAGAAATAAGACGAATAATTTTAATTTTGAATCCCTTCGCTTTCGTGTGACTGTTTGTAGGAACCCATCACTCAGAGAATCACCTTTGTAGTCACCTGTTCCCATGTCTTTTCAGAAAGAGATCTCCAGTTATCTCTTCACCCCCACTTCGAAACACCCAATCGAATTACAGATAGGAGAACACATTGTTACTGCACACACTGATCACGTAAAATTCCCAAGAAAAAGCAAAAGCATATAAAGACGCCCTGAGAAATGGGCTCTCGTTATTTATAGCTTTGAATACCATCCCAAAATTCCTGCAACACTATAGATGAGTGAAATAGCGTAATTATTTTGGTGAGGATTCTTATATTAGAGGGAATTTTTGCTTTAACCTCTCCATTAAAGCAAGGAATATACATGTATGACGGCAGACAGAAGTAGATCACAGTAACAGAATTATCTGGCAAATACATGGTTTCTAGAATGAACGCTTTCTACTTACTCATTTCTCCTGATCAAAGTCTAGGGTGACGTCATCGCCAATCAGTACAAAAGGCGCCCAGTATTTCACATCACTGTACTTGTCTGATTCTCTTAGGCTTGTCATGGCCAGGTTCAGGGACTCGCTTGCACTTTTCCCTTCCACAAGGTGATGGTAGAAATTTCTCATAAACTCCAACGTGGCCTCGTCATCGATCGCCCAGAGTGAGACCAAAACAGAACGAGCGCCAGCACCCATAAAGGCACGTGCAATACCGACCACGCCTTCATCCTTGATCTCTCCTCGACCACTGTGGCAACAGCTGAGAACAACCAGTCTTGCTCGTAGTTTAACATTCAGCACATCGGCTATTGTCAAAATGTAGTCTTCCTTCATAGGGATCGGGGATCTTCGCTTTGGGTCCGGAGTTAGAGCAATTTCGCCAGTTTCCATGCGACCATGTGCTGCAAAGTGAACCAAAGCGACGGAACTGAGTTCTTTCAACACCTCACGTTTCGTTGCTTGTTTTCCAATAATAGGTGTTACGTTGAGAATTCGCCCGATCATTTCCACTTCCTTTCTGGCAAACGGAAGCGGATCTAGGATTTTTTCTCCCTTGCTATTGGTAACTTCTTCAACCCATGGATCTCCCACAAGTAGCGATCCACTTCTACTGTGGTATTCCCGAGGACAATCAGCAATCAGCTTTAAGCTTGTCAGCGAGGGAATCACCCGGATTCTAAAAGAGTCACACAGGTATTTGGAATCAACATCCATAAGTGCGGCGTACGGAGCCATCCACAAGGGTCCATCTGGGACAATGATAAGCTCATTCCCTTCAACCAGGTCAACAACTGGCTCAATTATGTTGTGATACAAATTGCTCAAAAGAGACTCTAGTGAGATGGAAGGCTGGGAGTTTTCGTCTTCAAACTTCACATCTTCCGTGTGATCATATTTCCTCAATGCATTCAAAGATCGATCCTCGCATCTAGCCTCAGAACGAACACCAATTTGTTTATAGGCTTTTTGCATTATAGACCTGAAGTTGGCGGCGGCATCTTTCAATCCATGGACAATTTCCTTTTCTCTCAAACATACAGGCTTCCCTTTCAAGAGAACCCAGAGACTGATCTTTCCTTTGCCGACAGCCTGAAAGACAGTGCAAGATGATACGTACTCCGACATATCAAGTTCATGTTCTTCTTTTCCTGTACTTGACTCAGCCTGATTTGCTTGAATTCCAAATTGAGATTCCATAAGATCAGTAAGAGCTTGCGCTCGTCCTTTCTCAGCAGCAAACAGAGCTTCAGTAATCTTGCCTTGTTTCAACAGAACTCTCCATAAAGCTTTGTAAGAATTGTTAAACACATCTCGAAATCCAATTTTCCACTCATCCTTGGATTTAAGAAGACTTCTCACATGATTGAATGATCTTACACTAGACTGGTAATATTCTAAGGCTTCAGGTAGACGACCAAGTGATTCAAAGCTGACACCTAGCCCCTCATAAGCAACTGCTTCCCTAGCCTTGTCTTCTACATCTTTGGCAATTTCAAGATCCAGCTTATAGTAGTCTATGGCTCTATTGTAATCACCGAGATTGTAAAAAGCAAGGCCAAGATTTCCATACGAGACTCCTTCTCCAGCCTTGTCTCCAACTTCTTTTGCGATACTAAGAGATAGGGTGTGGTATACTATGGCGTTTTGGATATCACCAGAATTCTGAAAAGCAATGCCAAGGTTGCCATACGCTGTTCCTTGGCCAGCCTTGTCTCCAACTTCCTCTGCTATTTTCAGATGGAGTTTGTGGTAATCAATGGCCTTTTTGTAGTCGCCGAGACTGAAAAAGGCATTGCCAAGATTCCCATAAGCTCCTCCTTTTGCAGCCTTGTCTTCTACCCTCTCAGCAAACTTAAGATGCAAGCTGTGAAAGTCTATGGCCTTTTTGAAGTCCCCGAGGCTGTAAAAGGCAAAGCCAAGATTGCCGTACGCCCTGCCCTCGCCCGCCTTGTCTCCCACTTCTTGGGTAATTTCAAGATGAAGTTTGTAGTAGTCTATGGCTTTCTTAAAATCACCAAGACTTCGAAAAGCATTGCCTAGATTGGCGTATGCATGCCCTAGACCGATCTTGTCCCTGCTTGCTTTTGCAATACTGAGACGTAGGTTGTGATAGTGTATGGCTTTTTTAAAGTCACCGAGACCTCGAAAAGCATTACCAAGGTTATCGTATGCTTTTCCTTCGCCAGCCTTGTCTCCTACTTCTTTGGCAATTTCAAGTTGCAAGTTGTTGGTGTCTATTGCCTTTTTGTAGTCACCGAGACAGTGAAAAGCATGGCCAAGATTGCCATACGCAGCTCCTTCCCCAGCCTTGTCACCCAGTTCTTTTGCAATTTTAAGATCAAGATTGTGATATTCTATGGCTTTTGTGAAATTTCCTCTTGCTTGTGAAGCACAGCCAAGATTTGAATACGCACGCCCTTCCCCAGCTTTGTCTCTCATCTCTTTGGAAATGTTAAGATGCAGTTTGTGGTAATGTTCTGCTTTGATGAAGTCACCAAGATTGTGAAAAGTAACGCCAAGATTACTGTATGCACGTCCTTTTCCGATTGTGTTTTCCACTTCTTCAGCAATTGTGAGATCTAGCATGTGGTATTCTACAGATTTTTTTAAGTCGCCGAATGCAAGAAAATCGTTGCCGAGATTTCCATATGCCTTTCCTTCCTCAGCCTTGTCACTCATTTCTCTGGCAATATTAAGCTGTAGGTTGTGGTAGTCGATGGCCTTCTGAACATCACCTTGATGTCTCCAAACAATACCAAGATTATTGTAAACACGGCCTTCTTCAGCTCTGTCCCGCATAAGTTTTGCAATGATGAGACATTGATTGAAGCGGTTTATTTCTTGTTCACCTCTTGTGAGAGTTTTAGACTTTGTAGGGTTTAGTGCTCCTTCCTGTCACATAAAACAGTTTGAATTGCTTTAGCAATCGAATAAAACTTCAATATTTTTAAAGCCTGAATGTTTCATAACTATATGAAAATAAGACAGCTAGCATGCTAACTCCAAATCAAACCAAATCAAACTGATTCTGAGCGACTTCATTATTATATTTGGAGCCATATGATAGTTTAACTGATCGAGACTGGCGACCGCTCTGGATTAAATTAACTTTACGTAAAAAATTATTTAGCTATATCGAAAGCTTGGTTTTGCAGGATCTTCATCCCTGTAAACTCTTCCTCTCAGTTTAGCATTCCTAAATGAACCACTTTCAAACAAAGCACCTCTTTAGTCAACTCTCGCGTGGTCATATCGTATGAGAATCTTTGAACAATTTGAGTCAATTTATGATAAGAACGGTTTCGTACCAAACAAGGTAATGTCCTATGTGCATCATCCAATTTTACGGAGAAACCATATGGAGTCAGCTTCATTACAATTACTATCAGACGGCTTCAGTGACGTAAATACAGTCGAACCTCCCACAAGCGACCATCCAAAATGTCAAGCCTAGGTGGTCGCTTACGGGAGCTCAGACCGTATTGGGTCAAAATTTTCCCTCATTAGAATATGGTAACTGCAGAGACTTACCCCACGCGCCAATACCGATACAATCTTTTATTCATGTGAAGAGTCAATTTCGAGAGAAAAAATCCGGTTCTTCCCATTGAGAAATTTCCGTCTCTTGCACTTCCCAGGAATACGATAATGTTACAACAGCTTATTATCTAATTTCCTTCTCTATTATCTGCTAAAGGGTCGCTTACGAGAGGTTAAAAACAATAGAAAATTTCAAACTTTTAGCTCTATAAGTGGTCGCGGTCTCTTACGAGAGGTGGTCGCTTACAAGAGGTTCCATATAGTGATTTGACTGGGAAACTTTTGGTATGTTGAAAAACTGGCCGATGAGGAGAGGTGATCGCTTACGAGAGGTGGTCGCAACCGGAGGTTCGACTGTATTGGAGTTTCAACTTACCAAGCCTTTCACCGTCTGAGGTTCGGTCACTTTGTTTCGCTCATTGACAGACCTAGCCCTTAATTCCAACAAAGTCTTGTTACTTTTATCAAGCTTCTTTGAGTTAAGATGTTTAACAATGCGTTTCATCTCAGAGCTGTTTTCTGAAAACGTGGCCGAATTATTTTGCACGTAAGTTATTTGATATTAGAATACACATCAGTTTTGGAAAAACCTTTACATACTTACTAGAAACACAATATTACTGGTGCTAATGTACAGACACCAAACACTGTGAAGTGAACTCTTCAGAAAGGGTGTCTACAACTTTGTTTCAAGATGACAAATGAATTAGGATCTATGGGTTATTGACCAAGCGTGAAGTCAAGATGGCTGGATATTAGCCAAGTTCTTTTTTAGCGTGTTATGGACCGAGAAGGAGTCGAGGTCCATAAACTAACAATAAAAAAAATGAAAGGTCAATATCAAGCCATCTTGACCGAACAAGGATTTATTATATGGCTTTCAGGGAAATGTTTCTTCCGGGACACAGCGAGTAGTCTTAGCGGGCAAGATAGCGCCATTTTGCCCGCTCTGGTAGCCAATCACAGCGCAGGATTTAGTTTACCTTGCCCGCTCACGGAGCTAGCCATATAATAAGGCAAATTACAAGCTAGATAATGAAATGAGAAATATTATAATGCTTATCAAATCACAAGCGTTACCCAAAGAATAGCAAAAAAAATTTGGGACTCAGTTTCAAATCTGTGTCCCCATTGGGAACCCGTGCAGATATTTTTCAAAGGATACTGCCAATCCCTTATCGCACCACGTGATGGCTTCTTCAAACTGACTCAGCTGAACACAGGCACTAGCTCCTGATGACAGAGTTGTAAATAAACTTGTAAATATTCCGTGTGGTACTGTATGAGTTATATAAGTATGATAAGCCCCCTACCTATGACTTTTTCAAGAGGTTTTGGCCTGAAAATGGGTCAAAAATATTCTCATTTTGTACTGAAATTGGGTGTGATTTTGCATTCTGGTCTGAACTTAAACCACATAATCGTATTAACAGAAACGCGTCCGGCATTGTTCACAGGACTACGATCCACAATTGCAAGCGAGGATACTATAAATACCATATTAGACATACTACACTTCAGATACGCAGACGGCCAGGTTTGAAAATGAACATGAAACATGACTTATTTTAGCACGAGTCAACAGCAGTAGAATAAGGCCACTAAAATTCCTAGCAAAACATTCCGTGGAATTCTTAGTTATTTATCAACTTGAATTCGACAGAAGTAAATTTATCAACTTACTGAGGAAATCGGTTTGCTCGGACGAAACGCTAATGCTCAAACCGTCAATCTCACTAACTTTCTATGGCGGTCAATTTACCTTTATCAGCTTCAAGATTATAAATTGCGAAGTATTTCTCTTGCCCACTGACGCAGCCGAACAGTTTCTTTAGAGTTACCCTGGGTGTGAGGTTGCGGGGGGGGGGGGGGGGGGGGGGGGG